TTTTGTAGTCGTGTCTTTTGCCTTGTTCCCATTTCCTTTGGGCTTATCAGTTGGCCATGTGTGTCCAGCTTTGCCCCACGCACACACACACACACACACGACAACACATGTACCATAATGTTAATGCCTGATTCCAGGCCGCGACCGCTGCCGCCCATATTTGCATATGGCTCATTCACTCAACCTGGCGGCATGGCATATCCCAATGCCCATAGCCACGGTTACGTTTACGGGTACGGGTACGGGTATGGGTTCGGGGTCCGTTGGCTGGGCTGTTCATTTGTTTGCTTGTTTGTTTGTCCAGATACGCGTTACCTTACCCGTGTGCCCTGTGTCCGCACTTCTCCCTCTTCGCTCCCAAAACCCCAAATCGTGCAATCGTGGGGCAAACGCACATATGCGGGTGTTATCAGCAGTCAGCGCTCTAGCTTTTGGCTAACCGCTTCTTTTGCCACCCTACTGAACCACAGCAGACCACAACGCTTCAACCGCAGCACCACTGCAGCTCCAGCTCCAGCAGCAGCACCAGCACCAGCACCAGAGCTCCAGCTGTGAGGAGCGGAACAGCTCGGGGCGGACATTGGGCAAATAAAACCAAATTTTTGTATGCTAAAACACTTTGCAAAGGGCCTTTTGCCGTTGATAAGAGAGAGAGAGAGAGGGAGAGAGAGAGAGAGAGCGAGGAACATACAACAGGAATCATTGTGGCGGGATATGGGCAGTGGCAGTACTTTATGTGGGAGTTTCTCTGGGACTGGCACGGGGAGTCTCCCCTGCTCTGCTGTGTTTGTTATAGTTTCAGCTGCTAAACACCTTTCCATTCCGCTGATAATACATACAAACATGTGTGTGTGTGTGTGTGTGTGTGTGTGTGTGTAATTTGTTTAAACAAATTAAGTCGACTTTACTTTACCAGCTGCCCCGCGCTCTGTGGCGCTGCTGCTGCTGCTGCTGACGTCGCTTTGTCACTGTCAAAATACCGAAAAATATAAGAAGAAAAAAAGTAAACTTATTGCTTATTTGTGTGGGTAATGGACACACACACACACACACACACACACAAACGCCCCCGCACACACAGTGTGTTGTTATCTGTCAAGAAAAAAAACGTATAGAATTTTCGAATTTGTTTAACCTTTTTTTGTTTTTTGTTTTTTGGTGTTTTTTAAATGAGTTGGCCAGCAAAAAACAAAAACCACACACACCAGGCCCAGGCCGAGGCCCATTTTTTCGAATATTTACACAGCATTTCTGAGGGCCTTTTGTTGTGTTTTTATTTAACCCAAAAGACAACGAAGTGGAGCAGCACTTGGCGTCATATATTAATTGGTTTCCCATTCGCGGATATCAATGCTTTTGCTGCCTTTGTGTGTGGCAAAATTTTTGTAGTGATTGAAGTGGTTGCAAGTTGTTTATCCCTCCATTGCCTCCAACATATTCTGGAGCAAAACTTGAGCTACGATTCCTTTTCCTTCTCTGACTCCATCCGATACTTGGTCCAGTTTTTCGCTGTGGCCGTGACGCCATTTTTCATCTGGCTTTCCCTTGCGGACAGAAGCACCTAAAAGCAGCGCCGACGAGCATGTGGCTTGCGGCTCTCTGCCTGGTTTTTATGGCGTTATACACACTAGAATAGAGCCCCCTACCCACACTCCCCACCAGCCAAGGCCTCCTGCCACACAACCTTTTGGCCATAAAAGCAAATCCTTCGACGCTGTCTTGCTGTCCTGCTTGTGTGGATTGTGCCACGAATGGGGGCATAAATTAGCACAATCAACGTATTGTTTTCTGTTTTCTGTTCGCCACGCCTCCAACTACTCGCCACTCAATAACATGAAAATGTTATAAATAACAAAAATACACACACAGGAAGGAAGGAAAGGAAGGAAGGAGGCAGGGAGGCAGGGAGCCGAAGGAGTGTCTCTGACTATGGGGAGATTCATATTTTCTTGTTGCTGATAATTTGCGCAAAACTTCTATTAATATGTTAATTCTTAATTGTGCTACTTTGAGGGCTGCTGCTCCATCCAGGATCTAATGCAGTGAATGGGCCTCGTCCTCGTCCCTGTCCCAGGTCCCCCCCCCTAGTAGCAGCTCGTAAATATTTCGGTTAAGCCGAGAGACGCGGCTAACAAATCGACGGCACTTCAATTTATAAATATATCCAGCCAAAAAGGGGATCCCCGTGCTAGCCGAGAGGGTGGATGAATTAATTACACATATCCCGAAGGAATGGCTGGAGCAGGGAGCAGGGAGCAGGGGGGAAAGGCAGTTTGCCCATGACATCACACAGCATCAATAAATACAATAAATACTCGTTTCCCCATGCGACAGCCACCAGTTATGACACTCTGCTGGAAATATATTTGATGTTTCGTCTCTCAATTCAATCTGGTCAAGGGTCGCCGGCTTTGGCTTCGATTAGGGAGATGAAAGAAAAGGGTTTTCCCTCTATGCCAAAAGCTAATGCAATTTATGACTTTTGGCCACGGCTCTGGCTTAGAGACAAAAACTCTCGCTCGCAGTGGCCTGGTCCTGGTGCTGTTGACACTTGTGTCAGGCGGACTGTCAGCACCGCTGTCTGACATTTGACAGCTCCACAAATAGCAGCAGCACCACCCTTTCACCTTTTATTTTCCTCTGGCCAGCTGCTCTAACGGCTTACCCTCTTCAGCTGGCGGCGCAATATTGCATGCCACTGCTGTCGCTGCTGTTGCGGCTGTCAATAAGTATTTTGCTGTCTTTGTTCTTTCATGGACTCCTCATGGACTCCACCCTTAACCCCTACTTTCGGGCTAATCTCTGGACAAACATCTAATCTAATCGCTTAGGCAAATAGCAGGCAACGCCCCCCTGCCACTGTGCCACTGTGCCACTGTGCCAGCGTGTCCATCTCACTGTCTCTGGCCACGCCTACGCCTACGTGCGGCTGGCAGGTAGAAAAACAACCAGGTAGGCCGGGTCCCTGCCTCTGTCCTCTGGGCCAATTGCAGGCCGCATCGATTTCACGCCAATGATCGCCAATCAATAAATTCAATAATAATCAGCATCAAAAAAGGGAAACATATTCTCTCTTTTTTTTACCAAAAAAAAACCTAAGAAAAAAAGGAAAACCGAATCAAATCGAAATGAAGCGAAAACTTGTGGCCAGACCCAGGCAATCAGCAAAAATTACCGAAAACAACATCGTGTCACATGTATGCGTGTCAGCTCCCCTCCAGGATAGAGCACGGGACGAACAATCAATTGATAACAACAAAAAAACGAAGGAAAATAAATATATATGCGAGAGAGAGAGAGAGAGAGGAAAAAGTCAGTGTGTGCGGTCACGGACAATGGCAAAGTTCCATGAGAGATGATCAAATGCTTAGGGCGCATTAGTTATTGTTTGGCGAACCCAGGGAACCCAGGGAACCCAGGGAACCCAGGGAACCCAGAGAGGCCACGGGCCAAACCGCAAATTGCTTCAAACTGGACATAAAAAATGGACAAGGGATGAGCCATGAGCCATGAGCCATAAGCCATGAGGGTGGAGGCAGGACAAGTGGCAGGCGCGACAGGGAGTCAATAATTCATAGATATATTTCCTAATTGATTGGCAGTGGGACACAGGACATGCGGTAATTGAGTGTGTGACATCGATAGCTCCCTCCCCCTTTGGACATTGATTAAAGCTCATTATAATCATAGACCCCATAGACCCATAAATATATATGTGTGTATCTTGGAACAATAAAAAATATTCTCCACCACAAAGGGAAAGCAAAGGAGATGGAAAAACTTGTGTGAGATTTCGATTTGAAGTTTTGTTGTGCCAAAACGGACGGTGGCCCCCGGGGGGCTGGTGTCCTCGTTCTATTTGGGTTGTGGCTCTGCCCAGAAGTTTTTGTGTTCGGTCAATCAAGTTCCATCGATGAAAACCAACACACACACAAAAGTTGCCAGGACAGCCGCAGGATATATTGCGAGACTTTCCTTGTTTTCGTTGCTGTTGCTGTTGCTGTTGCTGGTGTTGCTAATTTCTGGGGCAGATAAGTCGCCATGACAACAGCAGTCGCTTCTGTGCCAGTGGCAAGAATCAGTTCATTGCGCCTCGAATTAATTGCAGGAGGAAGCAATTTTGGGCTGAGCCACTGGAATTTATGGGCAAAACTATGCACAATCGATCCCACCACCAAAATCTATGAACCGAACCACTGTTGGCGCCCCTTCTGCCACACACATGTGTATGCAAATAGTGCGGCCTGAAATCCGCTGAAGTTCCCCTTCCCTCCGCTCAGCGTTCAGCATTTTTATTGTTGTTTGTGGCATTTAGGCAGAAGGCGGAAGGCGGAAGGCCCAGCTCAGAGGCAAATAAATTAAAGTGCATACACAGGGCACTGCCCTCCCCCACTTAGACTGCTTACAGCATGCAGCATGCGGCATGTCGTGTCTGCTTATCTGCCACAAAGACTGAGGCAGAGCGATTCCCCCCTGTCCATATGTAAATAAATTGCAGCAGGCGGAGGGTTGTCCTGGTTTCAGTTTTTGCAATTAACCAAAACGAAACTATCGATAAATATGTCTGTTATCGGTGAACAGTCGATAAATTAGTTGGAAAATTGCATCAGAATTGGTGCTTGTGATTATTAAAGTCTCGCAACTGCCGCCAAAGGACATGGCCCCATAAAAGTGACAAAATGAAGAGGCAAAGCAGCAAAGGAACTAAATTAGAGACAACTCCTTGCAACCCGCCATCCCCACCATAGCTTGGAGACAGGATACAGTAAATTCAATTCCACATGCCACATTCCGCCGAAATGGCATCCTCCTTTGGTGTGCCTTCCCCTTCCCTTTCGCTCCCTTTCCTTTTGCTTCGTTCTGGAATTAAGCCAGAATTGATGGCCCACCATTCGATGGGCCATAAAACGGGTCTGGCCAATTGGCGGAATTGGGGGAATATTTATGAACTGAAAGTGTAGCGAGAGCAACCATTAAGCCGATTCCCATCCTCCTTGCAGATTCTGACTCCACAGAGAACGATGCGGTTGCCGCACAGGACATTCTCACGTGCGGCGCCTGCCAGAAGGCATTCGCCCTCTCGGACATTGTCAAGTTCATCCAGCACAAGGTGCTGCAGTGCAACAAGGAGAACTATGGCCAGTGCTCCACGCAGGGTCCTCAAATGGACCGTGACGCGGAGGAGGGACGACCCCTGAGCCTCGTCAATCGCCGGCCCTCGATCTCGGCCATACCCATCACAGGCCGCAAGTCCGCACCATCCGTGGTGGTCAGCAGCGGCGGTGGTGGTGGTGGTGGTGCTGGTGCCACGGCTGCCACAGCAGCGGCCGTTGCCGCAGCAGCAGCTGCAGCGGCGGCAGCCAGCAGCACAGCCAGCGGCTCCAGGATACACACCCCGCCACCAAGTCCCGCGGATCTGCTGGCCGATGGTGCCAGCAGCACGCCCAAGCGCCTCGTTGACGGTGAGTCATCAAAGGAGAATCCTTCTTGCAGCTCCTTCTGTGTACTGACGCAGCTCCTTCCCGCTCTTTCCCCCCCCAACAGAGAACGACAACACAACGCCCAAGGACAGCAGCGAGGCGGCAGCCACCATCGAGGCATCGATGCGCGGCAGTCCGGCGGCCATTGAGCGGCAGGCGGGCGGCGACAGCAGCTGCGATCTGCTCGATGAGGAGCAGCATCCACACACGCCCAAGGTCAAGCAGGAGCCGTATGCCCCTGACGAGGATATGCCCCATCTCGCAGGATCGCAGGAGCAGGAGCAGGAGCAATCCGTTGCCGACTGCCAGCCTCTGGCAAAGCGGCCCAAAATGGAGCTGGTCGATGCCGAGGCCAACACAGTCCACACAGGTGAGTGTCCTCATGCCACAAAGTACACTGCCCCCCCCCCCCCTCCTGTGCGTGTCGTGCCCATTCTTGCCGCATATTTGGGTGGCAAAATTAAAATTCACAAAGTGCCACCCAGTCCAGTTCGCGGGCGACAGTTTTGACCAGAGAGCGGAGAGATGGGGAACAATTTTTGTATGTGCCGGAGCTGGGCAAAAAATGTGTTTGATGTGTGTGCCACACAAAGGGGCGGCACAGTGGATAAGTCGCAATGCTGATCGGGCCGCGGGCCCTCAGCGATAAGCTGCAGCTGCAGTACGTCCGAGAAGCACACAAAAAAGCAAAACAGAGAGTGAAAAAAGAAGGAAGCAGAAAGCAGTGCGGATACGGATGCGGCCACTGGGATGGACGGACATCAAAGCGCAGCAGCAGCAGCAGCAACTCTCTGATAGAGAGAGAGAGAGAGAGTGAGAGTAGAGTGCAGCAGCAGCAGCAGAGGCAGGGACACTCGGACACAGGGACACAGGGACAATCGAAGCTTCCCGAAGGGCAACCCCCACTGTCATCTTCCATTTGCAGTTGAACTTCCATGAACATGCCCCTGCCCCTGCCCCTGCCACTGCCCTTACCCTTTGACTTTGACATTTCAATGCAAATGATGATGAAAAGCCAAAGACAGCAATAAAAATACACGACCAAAGGAGCGGAGAGTGGAGGACAAAACAAAGCTTCTCTCTAGCAGTGAGATTGTGCCTCGAGGGCAATTTGAACGCCGCCTGGACAGGCGAAGGAATGTGCCACGGTAGGGGGATGCTGGCCACTTGACTGGACAAAGGATGTGGCACTGTGGCACTGCGGCACTGCGGACACTGGACTTGACATACGCACAAAAGCGGGCGAAGAATCACAGTGAAACAGCGAGGGAAAGGGTCAGCTTTTAGCAGCTGGACACGTGCCATGATCTCGCTCGCGCTCTCTGTGTTTTGTGTTTTGTGTGCGTTGCGTGGGTCAGAGGTCAGAGGCATCGAGATGCACAGGTAAACGGTCGCGTGGCAGAGTGGTCAACGGTCAACGGTCAACGCAGCTTCAGCTTCAGCTTGTAGCAGACGAGCAGCAGTTTAACCCTTGAACTTTTCTGCGAACACGACAAAAAAAAAAAACACAACAGAACAAAACACAAAAGTCAGTGACAATACAACAAAGTTGTTTGACTCCGACAATGGATGAAGGAGCAGCGAAACGACCAACGACAACTGACAGCCATCCGACGCACAGATACACACACACACACACACACACAAAACAGCTAGAAGTGATGGGAAGAGGATACAACTGGGGGATCCCCGCGTTAATTACGCATTGTTTTCTCTCTCTCTCTCTCTTTGATTTTTTCTGTTTTATTTTGCTGTGTTGGCTGTCCAACCCAACTCCTTTGACGCCCACCCCCCCTGCCAGGGCCATTCATTGTTGGCCATTTGGTAATTATAAACGTGAAGAGACAGAGAGAGAGAGAGAGAGAGTGAGCGAGGCCAAGGGGCACGCCATGCCATGGCAACCGAACAGGCAAACAGGCAAACAGCCAACCCATCCATCCATCCATCCATCCATCCATCCATCTGTCCGTCTGATCTGATCCTGGACAACAGAAAAAGAAAAAGCAACAAACAGCAGAAAAAAACGTGAATGAATAAAACGAACAAACTGTCAACAAAATGGATATTCGCTTGCGAATGCTGCAACATGTCCTGTTTTGCCTTTCTGCCACGCTCTTCCACGTTGTTCCTCGCTGTTCCACCTGTCAGCGAGTCACAGCAGCAAATGTGAGTGGCAGTGTGAGTGCTAATTATCAATTTCGCTGGCACACAGCATGTCGCGACCGCAATGACAATGAAACACCATCAGCACTCGTCCCAGCACCCCCCTCAGTGATGGTGGCAGGAGTGGGAGCGAGTGGCTCGAGTGAAGGTCGCCAAAAGGGTTAAGGGTCAGAGAGATGCATAGATGCGGCTTTAACCACAGCATCGGGCCATTCAATTATTGACTCATGCTGGCACTAAGCCAGAGTGTCATCTAAACAACAAAAAAAGAGAGAACTGACCCCGGGACACGCGGGACATGGGATCCCCTCATACAGAGAGTGTACCTTTCCCCTCCCTGGCTCTTGCTCTTGCTCTTGCTTTTTTCCTTCCGAATCAATGGCTAATGCGCAGAGCTCATGCAATTTCACGTCCTTCCCTCGGCCTCAAAGGATTAGAGCTGCTGGCTCCTTTTGTCTGTGTCTGTGGTGCCACATGGGGAGAGAGTAAAAGCGGAAAAGGATACAGCCAAGGGCTTAAGCAAAAGGTCGACTCGCCTCGCCTCGCATCTCCCAGCAAGAGCCATGCAAATGTGTTCATGGCCCCCGGGATGCTGACAGTTGGCAAAGCTGCAACAATTATCCCATTACAGGGGAACCCTTTTTTTTTTTCTCCTTTTTGGCCGTTTTCCGCATCGCTCATACGCAACGTGTAGCGGGAGCGGGAGCGGGTGCTGGCAGGCAACCAAGCGGACAAGCAGGCGGTCAATTTGCCATTTCCTGTGGCAACTTGATGGCTTTGTTTGCCACCAGCTTCCGCCTTACGGTCACTTGAGTCGGTCCTCCTACTCCACACGCCAGCAAAGCAGCGGCAAAGGCAGCCAGGGATTGTCTCTGGTTCAGAGTTTTGAGTTCCCAGCTCTGAGTTGAGATGAGCAGCTGACAGCAACAGAATCAGAGCTCGTGGCACTCGCTGAACAAAGGAACACATCACCTTCCCGCCTTCCAGGCAGGCGCATCCTCTTTGGCGCGTGCTTTACGCGGGTCAGAAGAAGGGCTCTGATCGGGGATCAAATGCCCGATGTTTTTCGACAACTTTTACCTCTTTTTTTATGCCGATAATGATAATGATGATGGTCTATACATACGTATATGCGAGCAGGGATCGTGTGCTGCTGCTGCTGATCATGCGCAACCCCTTGGCACAATAATAAAGGGATGAAGCCGAAGGATGAATTGTCTGTCAGATTCATTTGCATTTCCTGCTACGCTACGTGCGGCAGGAGGCATGCGGGGCCAGTCGATCCCCGTGATCCCTGTGATCCCCTCTGCGCAACACACACACACGAAAAGGGTCGCGACAAAATCATGTTCAACATGCCTCACCTTTGACAGAGGAAGCTGCCTGCTGCCTGCTGCCTGCTGGCTTCTTGCTCTTCGTTCTGCCGCGCGTAACGTCATAAAAAACACACACAAAAATAATACAACAAAAAAAAAAGGAAAAGTGTGGAGAATGCGTGTCCTGCTTAACCCCGTGGCAGTGTCTCGTGCGCGACAGGCGTTTTTCCCCACTCCAGCTGCTCCTTCCACTACTGCTCTACCTCCTCCTCCTCCTCCTCTACCTCTTCCTTTCAATTTTTATTTTATATATTTTTGGGAATTTTCCTTTTTTCTTGCTGGCAGCAAACCGTTTTAAAGCGTCATTTAAATGCAGAGAATGTCGCCGCGCATCGTTCGGGGGTAGTTGCTGCCCTCATCCCTCATCCCCCATCCAACGCCCCTTCCCCTTGCCCCTCCCCCTGCGGCAATAGTTGAGCATTAACACCTTGGCCACCGCCATGTCCTGGCGACATGTGGTTCCATTTCGGCTTCGATTAGGAAGCGCCTTTCGCTTTTTATATATTTTTATTTATTAGAAATTTTTACATTTTTCATAAATTCTCATTTTGCCCGCTGGCGCATCTGTTGCGTCCCCCTGGCAGGACATGCCACTTGCCACTTGCCACTTGCCACTTGCCACAGGATGTGACATGTTGGGCTGTCTGTGGCTGCGGGGTGGTGGCCGAGCGTGCCCCATGTTTAATGGCAAATTTACAAATGTCGCGACAAAACCGCAACGAAAACTACACGCAGGACATAGGACGCAGGACGTGCCCCACGTGTCGGTGTGGCAATATCCTCCGCAATATTGGCAATCTCCGCCGCATCGCAGACACATGTCCCCCCTCCCACACCCTGCCCAAATTTACACATAATTAATATTTGCAAATATTTCTGCGGTCTAGACTCTGCCACTAATCACAGTACTCTCCTCTCCTCTCCTCTCCCCCTTCATCTCGTTGCAGAGCCCAGCAATTACACTTGCTCCACATGCAAGACCCGCTACACATCCGCGTGGCGCCTCATCCAGCATGTCCAGCACTCGCACGGCGTGAAGATCTACGTGGAGGCCACTGGTGGCGCCTCAGCCACAGGCACAGGCACAGCCACAGCCACACTCACTGTGGCCACACCCGCCGCCCTCAACAACAGCGCTTTGGCCGCAGCTGCAGCCGCTGCAGCAGCCGCTGCCGCCGTTGCGGCTGGCGTCAGTCCGCAGCCCGCCGAGGCGGCGCTGAAGCGCAGCAGCCCCGCTGGAGCGGGTGTCGCCGCCGTCTCCATGTCCACCTCCGTCAGTTCCACATCCTCCGCATCGCTGGCCAACACGAGCGGCGGCAGCAACAGCAGCACCAGCAGCATCCACGCCAGCGGCAATGTCAGCATCAGCGCCTCGTCCCCCCAGCAGCAGCAGCAGCAGCAGCAGCAACAACAATTGCAGTTGCAACAGCAGCAGCAGGCGGCGCAACAGCAGCAGCAACGAGTGCAGCAGCAACAGCGTGAGAATCTGGCGTCGGCAATGGCCGCCGGAATGCGGCATCATCCGCTGCTGGCACCGCCAGAGGCGATGCATGCCAATCCGTTCCAGCTGCTGCGCATGCCCCTGCCACCGGCGCTGGCACAGGGCAATGTAGTTCCTAGCGTGGCGCCACTGTTCGGCCATGGCCGCCCCTCGCCCGCCGATCACTATCGCATGGAGCAGCTGGTGAGCGAACAGTTCCGGCATCACGGCTTCAATCTGGCAGCAGCCGCCGCCGCCGCCCAGGCACAGTTCAATGCCAACGGGCAGGTGTCCGCCAATGTTCCTACCGTCGCCAGTGGCGAGCCGCGTCCGCCCTCGAGCTCCAGCAGCGGCAGCCAGCGTGGCTCCGTGCCACCCGCCGCCCTGCCACCGCCGTCGCTCAGCTCCCAGCAGCAGCAGCAACAGCAGCAACAACAGCAGCAGCAGCAGCAGCAGCAGCAGCAGCAACAACAGTCGGGAGGTGCCACCACGCCTGGTCTGGTGGGTGGAGGAGGAGGAAGTGGCTCCTTGAAGCTGGAACCGCAGCAGATGGATTTTTACTCGCAGCGATTGCGTCAGCTTGCGGGCACAACAAGCCCTGGAGCTGGCAGCATTGTTAACTCGAGCTCGCCGAGTCCTCGACAGAAGCAATCGCCGCACTTTGCGAGCCCATCGCCCTCCCAGATACCCCAGCAGCAGCATCTCCACCACCAGCGTCCCCACTCGCTGACACCGCCCGAGAAGAGCGGCGGCGATGCGGGCTCCGAGAATGGCAGCCTGGGCAGCCTGGGCCTCGCGCTGGCAAGCACGCCGCGGTCGGCCAGTACGCCGCCATCGAAGGGCAGCCTCAACCTGGGACAGGTGGGAGTTGGAGCAGGAGCAGGAGCAGGAGCTGCAGGGGGCGCTGCGGAGCAGGCCAGCTGCTATGCGTGCAGCTACTGCGACAAGAAATTCCGCTTCGAGAACAATCTGATCATCCACCAGAGGACGCACACGGGCGAGAAGCCGTACAAGTGCACCGCCTGCGACTTTGAGTGCTCGCACATCCAGAAGCTGATGAAGCACATGCGGGTGCATCGCAGTCCTGGCGACGATCAGGATGGACAGGATGGCCCGGACGATGGCAGCAATGCCGACTCGCTGGAGACGAACGAGGCGGACAACGATGAGGATCCGAATCCGGATGAGTCCGAGGAGGAGATGGGCGACGCCGATGGGGACAATGATCCCGATGGTGACATCGATCCCGATGCCGATGGCGAGGGCGAGGGCGACGACGAGGACGAGGACGAGCTGGATGACTGCGAGGACATGGACTACAAGGCCGAGGATCTCAGCGTGAGCAACCGCATCGACGGCAAGAGCCAGAGCCCCAAGACCACCAGCTCGGGCGCCACCTCCCTGGTCGGCGAGCTGATGGACAAGTTCGGCCTCTCGAACATTGCCCAGTACAGTGAGGCGTACAAGCAGGCGCTGCAGGAGTCTGGCCGCAAGGAGGCCGCCTCCGTGGCAGCTGCCGCCGCTGCAGCAGCCGCCGCGGCCGCCGTCGATAACAACAATCGTGGCGGCAGCTCCGGTCCGGGCTCTGGCTCGGGAGCGGGTGGCGCTGACAAGATGAACGGCCTGCCCGTGGCCGCCCTCCGACTGCGCGATGAGTTCGCCAAGAACTGCAACATGTTCCAGCAGCCGCAGGACGGGCCCGGCCAGGTGCCGCTCTTCAATCCCTTCCCCAATCCCTTCGAGCTGAGCAAGCGCATGAAGATGGACGGCGGCGACTGGTGGGGCATGTCCGCCCTGCACCGCAACGAGGCGCTCTTCGAGAACCTCAAGCTGAAGCCGCTGGGCCTGGGCGGCGCCAATGCGCTCATCCAGGGACCGCTGCTCAAGAAGGAGAGTCGCCAGCGCAACGACACCTGCGAGTTCTGCGGCAAGGTGTTCAAGAACTGCTCCAACCTGACGGTCCACCGACGCAGCCACACGGGCGAGAAGCCATACAAGTGCGAACTCTGCTCCTACGCCTGTGCCCAGAGCTCGAAGCTTACCCGCCACATGAAGACGCACGGACGCACCGGCAAGGATGTGTATCGATGCCGCTTCTGCGACATGCCCTTCAGCGTCCCCTCCACCCTCGAGAAGCACATGCGCAAGTGTGTGGTGAATCAGGGCAAGGCGGCAGCCGCTGCCAATGCCGTAGCCGCTGCCCAAGCGGCCCAAGCCGCCGCCCAGCAGCTCCAGGCAGCCGCCCAGCATGCCCAGGCCGCCCAACAGCAGCAGCAGCAGCAGCAGCACCAACAGTCGCAGCAGCAGTCGCAGCAGCAGCAGCAGCAGATGCCCGTGCAGTCGCAGCTGTCGCCCAGCTGCCCCATGGGCGTTGTCGGCTATCCGCCACAGTTTGGAGTCTCCGTTGGGGGCCACAACCTGTCGCTGCCGGGCAGCGTTAGCGGGGACAACGACTCGAATGCATCCTCCAGCCTCAACGCTCATCCCATTTCGCTGAAGGAGGAGGCATGACTTTTTAGCAGCTGGAGCAGCGCGCCACACCAACACCCACACTCGCATCCACACTCGCATCCACACCAACACCCTCATTTGCAACAACTGCCACTACATGCGGTACATCCACATCCACATCAGCATCCAACGCTCTCGCATCCCCATCCGCAGCTGCAGCTGCAGGGTCCGCTGGTAACGGCACCGCCGCCAACGCTTCACCAATTGGCGAGCAGCAGCAGTCGCAGTCGCATCATGTCGCGCATCTTTTAAAGATGTCCACAACTGCATGTCCTGTGTATATAGAGTCCTTCCCTATCCCTTGCCCCCAGGTTGACATCAAGTTACGGTTAGCAGCAGCCGCCACGGATACCCTGCAACTTTTACAAAAAGATTGCCCCCATGCCACCGCACCCCACGAGAGACACCGCCAGCTGCACTCAGCCAAGCTCCTTGAAGGCGACAACCACAACAACAACAACAACAGCAACAACAACAACAAAAAAGGCAACACACACACATACACACGACCAGAGGCATTTAATACCAAAGCAATAACCGTTATGTAATATAATTTTAAAGATTCCAATTTTTTTTTCCAACCCCTAAAAAACAAATCGAAACGAAACGAAACGAAACGAAAGTGAAATCATAAGTACTTACCCTCTAAATATATAGAAATATCTCTTTTTTTTTTGTATCACCCAATTTTTTTGTGCTTGTAATTTAAAAACTAGATGGATAGTTTATTGTATATTTATATGTATGTATCGCTCACGATGGATAATCGAAAGTCATCGCGGAGGAGAGCGAGGATAATCGCGTAGCCAGTAATCGTGTGGACACACATTTTCCAGTGTATTTTTAGGCCTAAGCTAATGGATTTGTATATGAAGAGCAGAAAGGGTGAGAAACAAAAACCAAAAACCAAGAAAATCCCTGAAAAACCCCACAAAAAAAAAACACACACACACACACACAACTACAACTACATTTAAAGAAGGAAAAACTAAACAAAAAAACAAAAAAACTAAAAAGGGGTAACCGAGAAACAAAAATCAACCACGACAAAAAATTCAGGCTCCCAGCGAGCCGCAAAAATAAGCAAAAATTATACTCTAAAACTTAACTTAATATGAATATTATATATAATATATATATATATATATATATAACTATATATGTATAGTGGAGATCGCATATGCGATATGCGTGTGTGTTTGTGTATGAAACGAATGAAGGATATGTTTTTTTTTTTTTGTTTATCGATGTACATTTTTGTGTAGTAAATCTAGAGCTCCGAAAGGGGCGAGCACTTGTAAAAACTCTTCGACCCTCCACCACTTCTGACACCCGATTGTCGTTTATTAATTTTATTCGATTTTCGTTGAGCAGAAGTAGTCTCCTGACCCAGACCCTGACCCTGACCCTGCCCCCTGTCCCGTGCCCCACTAGTTTACTTTATTTTCGATAATTCTTTTTTTGCGCCTAGACATAAATTCTATTATTAAATGTAATTTAAAGAAAACAAAAAACGAAAAATAATCAAATTTTTTTACATACATAAATAAATATAAATGTAAAACACAAATTTTTTTTAAACAATTTTAGCATAAGAAAAGCATACAAGAAAAATCAAGAGAAACGATAAGGAAGCCCCCAAAACCCATAAGAAATTGAGGCGAAATGCAAATTAGAAATGTGAATGTGAATGTGAATGCGAATGATTGAAAGGCGAACACAAATTTGTACGTAAAACTTCAAGTGAAAGCAAGGAAAAAGAGTAAAACAAAAAGTAAGGAAAGGAAAGCAATTAACGAGAAAATACCGAAGCAACAACAAACAAACAACAACTAGATTTTAGAAGACTGAAGAACTGAGGAACGAAATGAGATGCGTTTTCCTACTGTAAAAGACAAGGTCAACCGGAACCGGAAAGACACGGACAGAAGAGAGACGGCGACACACACACACACACACACACACACTCAGAGAATACGGACGAGGACGAGAGAGAGATTTTTTTATGAATTGTTTTTTTGCTGTTGATTTTCGTTATTTGATTGAACCAAAAACAAAAAAAAAAGGAAAAGATTGAGATCCAAATTTTGATTAATATTTAATTGATTGTTTTTTAGTAGAAAGAAAATGTTTGTGAGCAAAATTCAAAGGCAACAACAAATGACATTAGTTTAAACACTTTGTTTGTCCCGTAAAACCACCCCATCAGTCCCCTCCCCCCACCAACACACAGAAAATAAATCCCCCTGCTATGGCAGTGCCAATGGTTGGGAGTCCCAGTCGTGAAGGACAGGACCCCGAAGGCCCTGCAATAACACGGGGATTTGCTGCATTGCAATTCTCAACGAAGTTTACCGTGCACAATTTATGGAATTCGATAACGATGAGATGAAATGAGATGAGATAACTTTAAGGAACCAGGTTTAATGCATTGTGTTTCAGAGACAGCCGACAAGAGTATACCCCGATATACGAGTACACCTATAGATATATAAATAGAACGTATATGAAGCGAAAACTGAATAAAAACAAAAACCCATGAAAAACTATTACAAAAAAAAACCATACAAATTATGTTTTATTTGAACCACCCCCTTCTACCCCCCTTCCACCACACAGGAAGCACATGGATCCTTTTTATTTGTACTTTGATTTGATTTCCACACACAGAAAAACGAAACGAAAATAGCCACAGAGAGAAACGAGAAAACACAGAGAGAGAAACGGGATGAAGCTGAAACGGAAACCGATACCGATACCGAAACCGAAACCGAAACGAAACGAAAAATAGGCAGCAAGCAAACTAAAAACTATCATTAAATCTTAGAGAATTAATTGTAGCTATAAAAAAAAACCCAAACAAACATACAAACAAAAAAACTTTATACTACATAAACGAAAAAAAACCCACGTAAGCGACAAAAAATATAAAAAAAAAGAGACGATTAAAAGGAAAGTAAAAAGGAAAAACCCGAGCAACAGCACGGGGGTTATTGTTGTTGTCAGTTTGGCCGAGCAATAGCAATGGGGAAGCCGAGGAGTCAAATTTATAAACCAAAAACGAAAATCCGATAAAAAAAACCAAAAAAAAAATATTTTTCAAATGTGTGTAATTTTTTGAACGTAACAATAATGGATACGAAATGGAAAAAAAAAACAAACAAATTTAAGAATTAATAATTACAAAATAGTTGTCTGTGTTACAAAAATACGAAAAAAAAACAAAAACAGAAAAAAAACCAAAAATACAATTGCAAAAACTGTAAGCGAGATGTGTGTTATTTATTTTTCTTCGTTTTCCAGGTGAGGTGCCATAAACTTTATAGCAAGACACCCTAAAAGTAGGCAGCAGCAGAGCTCAGCAGCAGAGATCGTTCGCGATCGACCGTAAACGGTTGCATACCGTGGGGAAGCAACCACCAGATGTCGCTCTCAACAAACGCACACACTCGTGCATATGTGCATACATTTGTTCTTCCGTTCGTTTGCTCTCTGAACGCACACGCACACACATGCTGGTGTCCGCCTTACAGCCCTCAAAGCGATAGAGAGAAAGTTGAGTGACCCAATCTTGACGCCATTGGCCACACTGTCCCCCACTGACCCACGCCGGCCACACTCGACCAGCGCCACTGACCAATCCCCACGCCGCTGGCCGCCCCAACACAGTTCTCATGTGTGCGGAAACTTCAATTGGCATCCAAAGTCGCACGTACATATGTACGATTGCGAGCAGAGTTGAAACGAACCTCACACATGCTGCGTCGGCAGCGCTGCCAACGACAGCAGCAGACAGAGCAAAGACCAAGCTGAAACACCAACACACCCTCCCGCCCACAAGCCCAGTGGGCAGTGCGAACCTGCTCAAACATACCGACAGGGGTTCGCTGTCGAGCATGTTCGACTGCCTCGCCACCAGGCGGGTGGTTGCAAACGGACATCGAGCCAAGCAGCCAACTGCTCGCATGAGGAATGCCTGCTGGCTGTGGAGGGAGGGGGTAGTTGACCAAAAGGTGGTGTGGGTTGGTCCCACACATGGATATGGGTGTGTGGGAGGGGTCTGCAAATAATAGTTTCCACACACACGATACTCTGGCATGGAGCAGAGGTATGCTATGCCCGTGCAAGCTCATGTAACAGGCATCACATACCCTCGAAAACCATTTCGACGTTTTCATCTGTATAAACACCTTAATTTAGAAGGAACACAAGGAAAATGGAAATCGAACTAACTTTTAGCAGTAAAAACGGACTGCCATCGAATGATACACAGTCTATGTGAGCCAAAAGTACTGTGGGGGAAGAGACTGCAGCAAGTCTCGTTTCAAAAAGGGAATGCGAATTGGTCTGTCTGTTGTAACAGAGAGAGGCATTATATTGGTAGAGAGGATGCTGAAATATTCTTCAGAACATGTATGCTGTATGCTGTCTATTGATGCATTAAAAATACTTTCGAAACAGATGTAAGTATGCACAAATTACAGGAACAGTGAAGAATACAAGAGAACATCTCAAAGAGTATTTGTTGTAGTTGTTACTTTTCGAACGTAGTCCATATGAATTACATACCTTTGATACTTAACATGCTCTTCAGAATGTCAATAGATGATTTTTCATTTATTGTTCTTACAAAGATATTTCAAGACTACTTTTCCACTGATTCTTTCAACGCGTTAGTCAGCTCAGAATCGTGCTACATCTGCTCACATTTTACACTGCGCATGGGACTGTCTTATATTTACTTACTAAAATGTATATTCTGTATAAATATGTTTGAATTTTATACGTAGGAAAGTGTAACAAAAAGGCGCATTAACTCCTCAATTTAGTTCTATAATTGAATACTTTTAGTTGATTCCCAAAGTTATTTATTTTCTTTCATTTAAATCCTATATCCAATAATATCATAAATAAAATTAAGATACAAAGTATTTTATATCGTTAGAGAAATAATTTCTATTGCATTTTTGCTGCTATGTTTTGAAAAGATTCTATGTAAAAATGTGTAAGATATTAATTGAATAATCGTGTATTCCGATATAGAGAGAAAGGCACATTTTCGGAGCAACTTCTTGTGGGAAGGTCTAAATTGAATTCGATAATTAACTCAAGTTTCTTTTCGTTTCCTCTACTCGCAGACTTGTATCATTGTCTTATGGGATGTCTACCACGACGCAGTGTTGAGCAGAGTATTGAATGTATTGGCCCCTGGCAGAGTGTTGTGTAGCGACTGAAGGTGGGCAATTAATAACAGTTCCTTTGCCAAATGCGGACGCGGACCCCACTTGGTGCGCATTATTCATTCTCCATTTGCATGGGCCCGGCGTCAGACCTTAAACCTCATCCCCAAACAAGGAGTGCGATTCGGTCTGTGGCTTTCTCTTGGCAGCTGGAGGTTCGTGGGGGCTGTGTGGAGGAGGCTTCTGGCTGCTGGCTGCTGGCT